TTATATACATCACAATCCTTTCGCTTGAGTTTGTTGTCGCCAAACGTATTCAAATCAAGTGTTTCCCTCGATGGGGGCTTTAAATTCAACCGTCTCTGAACTGAATTAGTGATGTAGGTCCGCTGACTTCCAGTGTCAAATAGTACTCGCACTGGTACTGATTTCTCACCATTTGTCGCAACAGCCCGAGCTGTTTGTAATAAAACAGTTCTCTGAGATACTCGTGTGGCAGTCACTGTCCAAATCGAATTTACTTCCGGTTGATTATCTTCATGTTTAGTCGCTTCGTTATGTTTTGGCTTATCGACTCGAGCGCAGATAGACTGATGATGTCTACCTGAGCAATGACGGCATAATTCTCTGGTTGGTACAATCTCGGGCATGGTGACCTTTATACAAACAATTAAAAAAGCGACCAGATTCTCCTAAAATTTTCTTACGTGCTTCAGAACTAATAACCTTGTCACATGAAGCCGAATAATGACTCCCTTCACAATAAACACATTGTATTTTGATACTACCACCGTCCTTTGTTTTGGCTACTAAACTACTAGCAGTAGGGGGGTTATATCCCTTTGCTGAACCTTGCGATTTCGGAAATTTATGTGAACTGTTCTCAGTTGCCTTGGTTGCCTCGCTAGCTTCACGCGCCTCAATTTCGATTTTGATTGTTTGAAGCAGTTCATCGATTACCCAAACATCCTTAGTTGACTTTCGAGCGATTTGTAATCTAACATCGCTTGGCATTTTTGACATGATCATGGATATTAATAAACTTCCATATTGCTCTGAAGTCTGAAGAGATACCCAAGGAAGCCAAGCCGCGTACATGCACACTGATCTTGTCGGATACAAATCTTAAAGCAGATAACTTATCGCTAGTGCAGGCTTGGATCTTGAGTATTTCGTCCATGTGTGCTGTTACAATTTGTTGCGACTTACCGAAACGATCCTTGAGAATTTGGATGGCAGACTCATAATTAGCATTTGTTAATGTAAGTAAGTTATGAATAGTAATTCTGCGCTAAATTTGACCTTTTCTTCGATAATATACACACAAAACCATTTTATTGTACACAAAATACGAAAAACAATACACTAATAAATTACTGGCAAAAAATGTTCACGTGATACGTCACAGTGATCAAATTGTTCACGTGCGTTCCAAAGTTGCGTAATCCTTATAATAACAATGAATCTTTATAACACAAGCTGTCGACAAGATGTGTTTGCACTACTTGCTCCCAGTTGTTGTACCGAGCTTGGGACAATTTGTTAGCACCTTGTAACAAGCTTGATTGCATTGTCGACTTGTTACTGTTACAAGATTTTTCTAACAAGTCTGATACAGTCATAATATAACAAGAATGTTACAAGGTTGTTCTAACAAGTCTGATACAGTTGTAATATAACAAGAATGTTACAAGGTTGACGACACAAGGTTGTAACAATATTGTTATATCATAACTGTATGGGACTTGTTGGATCAACTTTGCAACAAGTCTGATAAAATCAACAAGGTTGTTACAAGTTGTTACCAGCTTGTTCCAAACTTGTTGACAACTTTGGAGAAGCAGTGCGAACATAACTTGTTGACGACTTGTTGCCAGACTTGTTACAAGATGTAAGATTTTGTGGGTCACCTTCCCACCTATCAACCTACATACATACCTACCAACCTACCTTCCCACCGACCAACACACATACCTACTGACCTATACTTTGAATATGTCCCGCTCACCTGGCATGGTTTTCCTGGTCGTATTTTCCCATTTGTGTAACATTTTCCATCGATCACACAAAAACCAGGATTGATCCGACATCCATTACCATTACAGCTTTCGCATGATCTGCACGTGAATGGAGTGCCTGTGCATGCGCCGTTCACGCATCGATCATTTCTCGTACACAAATTGCCATCACTGCAAGATAGCGCATTATTGTTGGTCCATACTGTCTCTCGCCCTCTTTGGCAATCCTACACGTAGAAAATTGAAGAACACAGTATTACAGTCAATTCAATAATGTTGGTGATACAGTGATTAATGCATGTGCTATTTTACCATGGTTCGATTCTTACTAAATGTAGTCATGTGATTATAATTTTATCTCAATCGGACGCATTTCCACACACGCCTTATCTCGCCAAGACGCGCATTTTGCCACGCGCCTTGTGCGCGCCCGTCATTAATATGGTGCGCAATCGTCTCATGAGTTGCATGTGAGAAGAGTTCTTCAAGTTTACCAAACCCTCGTGTTTTCTTCCGGTACTCCGCTTTTCTGTAGCAAGACTAACCACCAAAGGGCGGTCATTATTTAGGCTTGCCCGATTTTAGGGACCGCCTGCCATGCAGGCTAGTCATTATTCGACCTCTATAAAGGAGAACAGTTTAGAATTGATAGAGCTATACCCAGGATAAATAAAGTTAAATTTAGTTTAGGTTGGCGGCATTGGTGAAACTAAAACTATATGATAATTGGACCTACAGGGAAAACAGTTTAGAAATGATAATATTTTGTAATTTGTGGATTATACTGAATGAAATGTGATACAACAGAATAAAAAATTTTCTAAATAATAATAACTTCTGTTTAACCAAGCCAATAACAAAACATGTTCGTTATTTACCTAATTTAAATAGAGTTTTTTATTTTATTATTATTATTTCACTTTACATAATACAGATGACAAATGAATAAATTATATTACAAATAATTAGCAAAGTTTTTTTATTGTTGAGATCAATTATTTGAAGAATTGTATAGGTGCTGACTCTTTAAGGTCTGCGGCCAAACTATTTTAAACCACCGCTCCCCTGTAACTTAAAGATTTTTTCTCAAATTTGTGTTTGGTTCAGGTGATAAGAAGTCATACTTAGTTAGCTTAGTCTCAGGTTTCCTCTTGTAGTAACCCTGGACATTACAGGAATGGCCATAACTGGATTTACAGAGGGAACAGTTTAAAACTGATAATTTTATCAAGATTAAATAAAGCTGTTTGGTTATTAACCGTTCAGTATTATGGTCGAAATAGTTTATCGGTTTATTACCTGGCACTGATTCCAGGGATTCACACTACCGTAGCTATAACATGAATAGTAGTAGTAGTAGTAGTAGCTTAAACGGCACCCTCGCCGATAACACCTGGTACCATATTTTGTGTAGCATGACTGGCAACTACATGTATAACTGCCTGGAACATTGTGACAGTTGTGCTGGCACGGTCCTTGCAGGCATTCGTTAACATCTGAAATGTAAATGGGGTCAATATTAGATGGTTGTGGCCATGATATTTGTGGTGGTTATTGCATATTTCTTGTATTTTCTAACTCTCGATAGCATTATTTTTGCTAAAGGACATTGGGAGTAAAAATCTAGTTTGTCTCATTTGAAAGGACTTTTAAAATAATTAATAAAGACTTTTTTACAGCTTTTTCATATCTTGCTTGGTTCTTGAAATATTTTGACTGAAAAGTGAAAACAATGAGTTGTCCGCCATCTTGGATTACTCAGGATGTGCATGTTATGTCACAAGTGGGGTTACACAAACTCTTTATAAGATAGGGTTATATTTCAGTGGGTTATCCCCACACTTGACTTCATTGAAGTTAAGAAATAATCATAAAAATGACGATGGCGGAAAGCTTACCGCTTTCAGTCAAAATATTTTTGGTTAAAATATTCCAATACTTAAGTCTGATACAAAAATCTGCGACAAAATTTCATACATAATTTTAGACGTTCTTTCAAATGAGATAAACTAAACTTTTAGTTCCAATGTCTTTAACTGTTTATTCACAACTATACCATTTGGTTATTTTGGACATTGTTCTAATTGTAAATTTGGCGAAAATATGCAATGATGATGATGATAGTGATTATGGTAATGATGGGGTTCACGATTGGGATAATGATGGTAGCGGGGTGATGGTCATGATGATGGTGGTGGTGATGATGATGGTGGTGGTAATAAAAATGTTGATGATGGGTGTGTTTACGGTGATGACGAAATTGATGATTGTGGCGGTGATTATGATGATGGTGTGATTATGATGATGGTGGTGATGATGGTGGTGGTAATAAAGATGGTGGTGGTGATCGTGGTAATGACGGAGTTGATGATTGTGACGATGATGGTGATGATAGTGGTGATGATAGTGGTGATGATGGTGGTGATGTTGGTTGTGATGGTGATGATGGTAGTGGTATACTATAAAGATGGTGGTGATTGTGGTAATTAGTAATGGTGCGATGATGATATTGATATAGTAATATCGCGTTGATAGTTATCGTGATAAATGTAACGCTGAAGAAATTATGGTTGCCGTGATGATGGTGGTGATGGTGATAATAATAATAATAATGATAATGATAATGATAATGACGGTTGCGATGTTGATAATGATAGTGGTGATAATAATGGTGGTGATAATGATAGTGGTGATAATAATGGTGGTGATAATAATGGTGGTGATAATAATGGTGGTGATAATGATGGTGGTGATACATGTGATGAAGAAATGATGGTTGTTACAAAGGTGTGGTTTGTGATGATGATGTTGATAATGATGATGATATGGTGATGATAATGATGGATATGGTGGTATTACTGCTAATGCCACGATGGTGGCACCAATTATACCTATGAAAGTTTTTACCAAGTTTCTACTTTCTATTAAGTTTCTACCTACCCCTCTCACAGCATGTTCCCGTCCATCCCGCGGTACAGTAGCACCCTCCATAGGTAGGTCTTCCTCCATTACGACACGCGTGTCTGTTACATGCCCTGGTCTCCGAAAATTGATATGTACATTTCCCCCCACAGCACTCGGTCACTTTTTTCCCCCTGTGTCGTGTCTGGGTGCCGGCATAACCACACTGGTGGCTACACCCGCTCCACAATGACCATGATCCTGGTACACAATTTCGTGGTGGTGGCCGTGGGGGTGGGTCACGTCGACTATCCCTACGGCATCCTTCTGCGATCTTTAGGAACACCAAGAGTTCGATGCACAGCGGAAAGAACTTCATTTATAGTCGGATTTTTGGATCGAGTAGTACGGAGTATTTTTCTTGTTTAGGATTCTTGAACTCAGATGCTTTTGCTTCTTGATAGAATAAACTCTCAGTCTTATTGTATATTTTTTCTTTGTTAAATTTTCTTGTTCATGAAACAACCTAATTGAATAATAATGAATTTGAATATTTTTTAATAAAATGCACACCCAGTCGAATCGCTGCTATTTGGTTCAAATTTTCACGGCGGCACAGTTGCCTGAGTGATCATCTTTCACTATTATGATTGTGTATGCGCTTTCACTGACTCACCACCCGAGACATTCATATGGAAAGAATTAATAGACTAAAGCATGGAACAGCTTATGAAACAGCTGGTCTTCCATTTAAGGATAATGATATTTTTCTACCAAAAGATAATTATTTACTTAATTAATTAACTTATTTTGTTTTGTCGAAAATACCAAGTCTATTTATTTCGCAAAACTTTCGATGTATGATTTATGATCTTCATTTCTTAACGATTAGTGCAAATATTATACCTCAAATCCGAGAAAAACAAACCACATTTATCATTATTTAAATATATAAGACAATAAGTACAGAGAACTCATTCAGGTTTCTGTGGTGAAAGATGAATATTAAACATTTTCATTTATGTCAATGGACGGTGTTCAGATACGTACTATAACGGTCAATGGTTGGGCCCTCACTTCTGCTGGACTTGGAGTTAGGTTATGTAAATATTATGAACAACCGGCCCCATGACCATGTGTTGCGTTTATATAAATGCTCAGCAAACAGAGCGCAGCCTGCGTAGCAAATTATTATAATGTAATTCTTATTTGGCCACAAAGGATTTGCGTGATTTATTAAGGAAGTAATGTATAAATGATATATTTTTGTATACTAATGGCGCAAATGCTTCTAAGTTAAGTAGTCAACGGTTGGCGAATGAATCTTGAGAAATTGAATCCCAGTATTTTAAAGGACGATAGCTTGGCTGACAGACTATATTATTTGCTTACCAATAAATGACCAGGAAATCGTATTTCCATCACTAAATCCAATCTATAACCTCACTATTTCCGTACATCAATATACTATGAAATCATATTCGCATTATTGAATCCATAGTGCACACTGTTCCGCCATATTGTATTTTTTTTTATTTTAAAGATTTATTCATAGATTGAGCATAGCATTCCATACTACTATAGTATACTGTTTTTCCAACTACCATGCATGTTATGGTCCATACTAATTCCATAGTAAGTCTTAAACTAAGACTGTACCAAACTTACCAAACTAACTGGTTTGCAGCTCTGGATAATTCTATCACTGTTCAACTATTTACAAGGAAGAAGGATTATCCCTTAGGAAACTCACTAATAATTCATGAAGAAAATACAAAAGAAATCATGAACGTGAAGGAGTTTGTATATCTGACACAGAATCATGCTGATTTGCATAAACTTTAAGTTCAATGTCATTCATTCTAAGCCATTCGCGTCCGTGTTGTATCGGATATACAAACACTTGCCTTTGGCTCGAGTTTATATATCCAATACATCACGGTCGCGCCTGTTGTAAATAGTATTTATTACTGCAGTGTTATTACAGATTAAGAGACTGAAATTTATAACATGGAGCCGAAGGCGAGAGTTTGCATATCCGATACAACACGGATGCGAATGTTGTAAATGGCTTAGGAAACGTCTTGATGAGAACATTCGTGTTCTTCAACAATTTAAAATAAATGAATGATATTTGGTGAGAAAATTGAACTTAAAGTTTATGTAAATCAGCATGATCTTGTCTCAGATATACAAACTCCTTCACGCTCATGATTTCTTTTGTGTTTTCTTCATGAATTATTAATGAGTTTCACAGGTAGCTGCATGAGCGGCTATGTTGTTGTTGGTATAATAGATAAAGCATGATATATATATATATATATATATATATATATATATATAAACAAAATATATATATATAAAAAAACAAAAGCATTAATTGAAATTAACGTATTGTTTGAATTTGAATGCCCTAGCACTCTGCTGAACCCACACGTGCATCAAAGCTTGATGTAAGTAAATTTTATACATAAAGAAACCGTTTAAGAAGCTGTTTTAAATTTCCAAGAGCAGAAAATCGTGCGCTTTACAAAGATATTTTAATTTCTTAATAAGTCAATATTCAATATATGCACCCTTGTCAAATATTTTGCGCATCTTTACATTCAAATTTAAAGGGCATTCAAATTCAAACAATGAGTTAATTTCAATGCTTTTGGGGGTTTTTTGGGACACCCTGTATACAGCTAATTGAAAAAAAGATTGTCCTTTGGGAGCATCATTTAAATCAGTTTAGAAATCATATAGGACCCATTTCTTAGAGACATAGTAAATATCTCCTTGCGAAAACAATTAATTCACAAATAGCTGCAATATTCACTGAACTACTATAAGCTTGAAACTTGTGCCCCCATTAAGCTTTGCGCGCTTAGAGTTTTTAAGGTTTGCAAAAGAACAATCTTTTTTGAATTGGTTGTATATTAAAGTAAGTATAAAGCCATCGCTTGACAGTCTTTAACGCTACATACTTAGTGATCTACAGGTGATTAACCTGCATATCCATCATATACAGTATAATGTTGTTATACTTCTTAAATAATAAGTATTTTTATTTTGGTTTTATCTCTCTCAATATTGCGTGTAAATTCAAGCGTTATATATCAAAATCTAAGTTAGTCCTTTCTGAATGCATGAATGATCTTTATTTCATTGCGATAGCTTTTATAGTTTTTACGCGTTACATGAAATCAAAGAGAAGTTAAGAACTCTGTATTCCCTACCTTTAATCTTTCATTTGTCCGACGAGGATGGATTATATAGCTATAGTCCCGTGATGCATGCTCGAATAAGTCTGTCCTGCATTGGAAGCTCAACTGCGTGTTTACGTTTATCAGAAAGCGCTCATTGTTCTTGGAATTGCTCCCTGGTGCGACACAGACCCCCAACTGTCGTTGAGCGTTGATAATTGGGAGTTTTGATACAAATCATTTTCAGTGATAAGGATACACAAGAGATGTACCGAAATGTATCTGCTGGCAATTTGTATCCAAGTTTTCTCTGTGTTTTACTTGACAGATGCGGTGACTCATTTGGAAATATATCCAGGTTTGCAATGCAGTTATAATTACGATCTCGAAGTCCATACGCATCGTGGCGAAAGATCGACTAAAGAACTCAATTATAAAATCAACGTCAGGGTAAGTTTTTGTGGAACTTTTTCATGCGATATATATATATATGTTCTATTTACAACAGGAGTGGCAGTGTTGTATGCTATCATTCGTATTATTCGACGGTTTAAAATAAATGAATGATATTTGGTGATAAAATTGATCATGAAATTAAATTGTATGTAAATTAGCATGATTCTGTATCAGATATACAAACTCCTTCACGCTCATGATTTCTTTGTATTTCCTTCAAGAATTGTAATGATTTCATAAACAATCTTAGGTGGAGGCACACTGGTTAGTACATGCATGTGATTTTGTGAGTCTGACGAGGCTTATCTTTTTGCCTCAGTCGTATTTTAGAAGAGTGCTTCCAATTTCACTTATGCCCCCTGTTACACAACGCTGGGATTCACTTGGTACGACATGAACATGTGCCGCTCAGGAATAATGACCTCCCATAAAATTCCCACTTCACAATTTTTGTCTATAATGTGTCGTATAATCGCAATTTCAAGTCATGGTAAGAGCCATCGCGGAGGAAACCATGCTGCGGTATTTGGTTGAGGGCCTAGTTACACGATACCGGATTCGCTTGTTGCATAACATAGAGTTTAATCTTTTCAGGAACCACTTAAACTAGACCTCCGTGAAGGACAGCGTAATATGCACACATTACTGTAGTTTTGTTACTTTTTGTTAGTGTATTCATGCATTTGTGTTCCCCTTAGAAATATCAAGTAAAAGAGACCAACTTTAACCTGAAATTGACTATTAAGATTTAAGATTTAATATGTTTGTCGCAATAAAATAACAGAAAATACATACAAAAATAGGAAGTCGGTTTTTTTTGCGAGTTGTCTGCCTGAAACCGTCGGAAAGCTTCGGAATAAATTCGGAATCGCTTTCAAATTCTTCGGATCCCAAATTTCGGAGTGATGGCTCACTAACCTCGCTTTTAATGATAGGCCGTTTGCTGTGACCTCTAAAATTGCTTAGGAAAAACGAATTTCATTTCCAATGTCTTGCTCTTGAGTCTTGGAATTGAAATATTTTACGTAACGGGAACTAAAATTTTGGAACACGTTGAGTTCAAATCCGAAAAGTTCCCGCAGTTTTCTCACGAACTGCTATAATTTTATCTTCACCAATTTTGCAACAAATTTTATCATTGTTCAACGACACGGATGGATGAGGACACACGATTGCATAACTCGAAAGACTCATTCTTATGAACCAGTTTCTACAATGGACAAATGTTTTGCTTGGGTAATTTTGAGTTATGTAATTTTAAGCGCGTTGAACGTAAACAACATGATTATCTTGTCTACAACTTTGAGAAGGTACCGATATCGCTTTCTAAAATCGTGAGTTCTGGTTCTATCTCTATAAAATCACAAGAACATTAATGTTAAGTTTTTGGGCTATATCTCTGGGCTGAGAAATAATTCCTTACATGCGATCAAAATGTTTTATACAACGATGTAAAACGGTAATTTTATGTAATGGGTCAACATTTAAATTTCCAACCCAGTTTCTGAGACATAATTCAAGAGATAACTTATCATTGCATTTGAACTATTATATGACAGTTGGTGTTATTCTAGATCTGTGATAAGCGAATATTACTGGAAAAAGGGCTTCCATATAATAATTATAATATTAAAATTTATTAATTTATAAAGCGCTAACACTAAATATTCTAAAGCGCTACCATTACAAATTCAAATAAAATGTATAAAATATGAGATGATACCTATATACAGATTTAAAATGTACTATTATATTTAATCTCATGCACAGCTCATGTACAATATATTTAATCTCATGCACAGCTCATGTACATTTTATTTAATCTCATGCACAGCTCATGTACATTTTATTTAATCTCATGCACAGCTCATGTACATTATATTTAATCTCATGCACAGCTCATGTACATTATATGCATGTTTAATCTCATGCACAGCTCATGTACATTTTATTTAATCTCATGCACAGCTCATGTACATTATATTTAATCTCATGCACAGCATATGCACACATTTCTCCACTTCGTCGTAAGTTTACAGAGCAGATTTTATACTTTAACACTTTAGAACATTTATCCTTCTACAGTAGTTTAAGGTTATTTAACATTGATCCTGTCGAAAGTTTTCTACTAGCAACCCATCGAAAATATTTCATATTAGTGTTTTCACATGCCGTTACGTTGGCTTCGCGTTGCTTTTGTTTTATAAATACCTTGATCGCGTTAAAAAGTTATTTTTCAGACCAGTGACATAGCCAAAATACTTAAATAAAGCGTTATCTCCAACAAGTATAAGATTACATAACTCAAATGATTCAAGCAAAACGGTTTTTTGGTAGCAGGAAGACTGGTTAATTTAATAGAAATTGGTCGTTACGAGTGACATATGCCGGTATGAAAATCGCGACGCTGCGATGCAATCCGGTATGGTGTAATCGGGGCCTAAGTTTATATTTGCCGTTTCCGTGTTTAAATCTTGTAGTTATCCAGAGCATTTTGTGCTTTCTATTCCTAAAATTCTTGATTTTATTAGTATAAGTATGACCAGACACCGACTCAGTTTGTTTATATTGTCGTTTGTAAAATTGAATATTCTGAACACTCGGAACCCTATATTCAAGTCCTTTTCATGGTTAGTACAACTGAAGTTAAAATAATTCAATTTATCAATATAAATAAACCAAATTTTCTTTCAAAAGCTGAAAATTGGGGCGAAATTGACACAAAGCTAAAAACCCATCCACCAGGATGCCATGCAGGTTTCATTTTGATTTTTTAGTGTAAACCATATATAGGTGTAAACATATGGTTCAAAGCTAGTTAGTGTTAACCTTGGGTTAAAATTATTATAAACCCGATATTATTAGAAATTAGCAATATACACGCAACTCGCACTGTCCATAATCTCCAAAACTAGCGATCAAACTACATAGAAAAATAGCGACAGGAGAAAGAGACAGGGCAAAATGCCCCAATTGACTCCTAGTTAATTAGAATATATTATAATTACTATATACATCTGTCTAAAGTGTTCGATTAAAAATTTACCGTCGGAAAAACATATGTTTAAAATATCACTTCTGGTTTTCATTGAATTACTGTAAATACATAACGTCCGCAGACTGAGTTTGCTTTCATGTCTTATCATCACTCACATGATGTGGATTGTCTAATTGCGTCAATAAAATGCCATGTCTATCATTCATGATTATACTACTATTGTAATGTGTTTTAGGCATGTTTTACCAAATAAGGCCATGCGAAATGATGTTTTTTTCTGGTTTGGGCAAAACACAAGGTCAAAGCCGTCAACAAACTTTTTTAATTGTGTCAGCGGGCAAATGTCAGCCGACTCGGTTGCTAACTAACCAAGTACATTCAAGAGGGGGAACTGACATTTCTCGAACCGTT